TCAGATTCGGGTGAAGCCGGAGGATGTCCCAAAGACCGCGTTTCGTTCGAGATACGGTCATTTTGAGTATTTGGTGATTCCGTTTGGACTCACAAATGCGCTGGCAGTGTTCATGGATTACATGAACAGGATTTTCCAGTCGTATCTGGATCAGTTTGTGATTGTCTTCATTGATGATATTCTGATCTACTCCAAGACTTAGGAGGAGCATGTGGAGCATCTGAGGATAGTTTTGCAAGTACTGAAGAAGAAAAAGCTTTACGCTAAACCTTCCAAGTGTGAGTTTTGGCTCAAATCAGTCAAGTTTCTGGGGCATGTGATTTCAGCAGATGGAGTTGCAGTGGATCCCAACAAGATTGAGGCCGTGTTGGATTGGGAGAGACCCAAGACAGCTACGGAGGTGAGGAGCTTCTTAGGTTTGGCAGGTTACTATCGGAGGTTCATCAAGGGTTTTTCCACGATGGTTCTCCCTTTGACTCACCTTACCCGAAAGGAGACTCCATTTGTGTGGACTCACGAGTGTGAGGCGTGCTTTCAGGAGTTGAAGGAAAGATTGACTTCTTCACCTGTGTTGATCCTTCCTGATCCTGAGGAGCAGTTTGAGCTTTACTGTGATGCTTCTGGAAAGGGGCTGGGTTGTGTGCTGATGCAGTCTGGTAGAGCTGTTGCTTTTGCTTCGAGGCAGTTGAAGCCTCATAAGGAGAACTACCCGACTCATGATTTGGAGTTGGCTGCGATTGTGTTTGCTTTCAAGATTTGGAGGCATTATCTTTTTGGTTTGAGGTTTGTGGTGTTCAGTGACCACAAGAGTTTGAAGTACCTGTTCGACCAGAAGGAGTTGAACATGAGGCAGAGGAGATGGATGGAGTTCATAAAGGACTACGACTTTGAGCTTAGGTATCATCCTGGCAAGGCCAATGTGGTAGCCGATGCTTTGAGTCGGAAATCCAGTATTTCATCCAGTTTGCTACTTGGTAACTTCGATGTGGTTGAGAAGTTCCGCCACTTGGCAGTGACCGCTCCATGTGCGAGCGTACTTCTCGGGTTGGAAGCATCTGATGTTGTGAACGAGCTGCTAGAAAAGATTAAAGAGACACAAGTTCTGAGAGAGTGTCTGGATTATGTGAAGAACCAAGACGGTGTGTCTTGGAATGATAATGGATTGCTTTTGTTCCAGTGGAGGATTGTGGTTCCTTGAGGTCCGTTAACATAAGAGGTTATGGCAGAAGGCCATAAGGGTCAGTTTTCTATCCACCCTGGTGCTACTAAGATGTATCAAGACTTGAAGAAGAACTTCTGGTGGCCGGGCATGAAGAAAGATGTTGCTATCTTTGTGTCCAAGTGTTTGGTTTGCCAGAAGGTGAAGATTGAACACCAGAAGACGTCTGGTAAACTTAAACCTCTTGAGATTCCGGAGTGGAAATGGGAGAGCATTTCCATGGACTTCGTTGTGGGTTTGCCGAAGACTCAGGTTGGCTGTGACTCGATATAGGTCATTGTGGACAGAATGACGAAGTCTGCCCATTTTCTTCCAGTGAAGGTGAGCTTCACTACAGAGCAGTTGGCCAGACTGTATGTTCGCGAGATTGTGAGGCTTCACGGGGTGCCCGTGAGTATCATCAGTGATAGGGACCCGAAGTTCACATCTCGATTCTGGGAGGCGCTGCAGGGAGCTTTTGGTACGCAGTTGAGGTTGAGTACCGCCTATCACCCTCAGACTGATGGACAGACTGAGCGGACTATCCAGACCTTGGAGGACATGTTGCGGGCTTGCACGTTGGAGCAGGGCTCGGCATGGGATAGGTACCTTCCATTGGTAGAGTTTTCGTATAACAACAGTTTCCATGCTAGCCTGGGCATGGCACCCTACGAGGCGCTCTACGGTAGGAGGTGTCGTACACCTACCTGTTGGTCGGAGGTTGGGGATCGTGAGTTGTTTGGCTTGGATTTTGTCCAAGATACCACCCTGCAGATCCAGATGATCAGGGAAAAGCTAAAGCAGGCGCATAATCGTCAGAAGAGCTACTACGATGTCAGGCATCGACCACTGGAGTTCAGTGAGGGTGAGCACGTTTTTGTGAGACTTTCACCTGTCACCGGTGTTGGACGGGAACTCGGAGTGAGGAAGCTGAGCCCGCGCTTTATTGGGCCATACCAGATTCTTGGTAGAGTAGGACATGTTGCCTACCGGCTTGCCTTGCCTCCGAACCTGGCCAACATCCACGACGTGTTTCACGTGTCTCAGCTTCGGAGGTACATAGCAGACCCTTCGCACGTGGTGCAACCGGATGATGTGGAAGTTCGGGAGAACTTAAAGACTCCCGTCGGACCACTAAAGATTCTCGATCGTGGCGAGAAGCAGCTGAGGAGCAAGATCATTCCGATGGTCAAGGTGCAGTGGACCGGAAGGACTCCTGAGGAGTGTACTTGGGAGCGTGAGGACGAGCTTCTCCGGCAGTACACCAAGTTTCGACCAGGTATGTTTCTGATTTTGAGGTCAAAATCCTAAAAAGGTAGGGTGAATGTAAGAACCCGCACCGTTAATTAAGGTATTTAATTAATTAATTATGCAAAATTAGGAAATGATTCCATAATTGACCCTAATAATTATTTATGAGGCTTAATAATCGTAATAAGTGATTAAGAATGCTGAAAGTCGCTTTTCGGAAGAAAAGTGCAGATACCGGTTCTGCTAGTCGGTATAAATGCGTGCCGAAAAAGTATCCCGGAAAATTAATGTAAGTGCATGATAATTACTAGAATAATATGTAGGACTTGTAAAACGAGTTTCAAGTCCAGATAATGAGAACTGGTGCTGGAAACCGGTACTGGCTTGGAAAAGCGCGTACCGAAAAAGTGCTCAGAAAATTATAAGAAAAATATGATAAATCTTAGAAAATTATGTAGTTTCAGAATCCAAAGTTTGGGATTAAAATGCTAAGCGTAGCAATTAAAGTTAACAGTGTGTGTTTAAGTGGCTTAGGCTATATATACCCTTTGTAAGGGCACAAAACCCTAGAAAACAGTTTCTCTACGTGAGTGTGTGAGGGTGGCTGATCAGCTTGGCTGACTTGTGGGGTTTCTCCTCCATTTTGGGTCCAAGACGCTTCCTTTCTTGATTTTCTTCACACTTTCACTTGGGATACACTTGGTGAGGGTGAGAGCTAGCCTTGGGACTCTATTGCTGGTCTTTTCTGAGTTGAGAGAGCTGTTGTGTGTGAGATTTTGAGGCTGACTTGGGTTGGTTGTGTGTGGAAGCCTTTGTTTTGGCATTGTGAGGTCCAAGAAGCTTTCTTTGTGTTGAAAGGTCCAAGCTTGTTGATCCATTTTCGTGCACCTTGTTGAGTCAGTCTTGAGGGGCTGATTGTGAGCTCCAAAGAGCAGCTTCTTCTTCTGTTTTGGCCGTTGGTATGTATACCAACCTTTAATCATGAGTTTAATGCTTAAAAATGAAAGCTTGATGCATGTTAAGGTTAAAAGATGATAACTTGTTGTTGGGTGAGGCTTTGCACATCTAGAAATGCATGATTAGGTGTTTAAAATCGGTAAAAAGGGAACCTTTAAGGGATATCTTCACGAAAATGCAGAAACTGCATTCTGTCGTGAGATATCCGGATATTTGTCGAACTGATATCCGGATATTGGATATCCGGATACGTGGTCTTGGGATATCCGGATATTGGATATCCGGATATGTGAATCTGTATATCCGGATATTGCATATCCGGATATGAACAGTGAGATATCTGGATATTCTGGGATTTCGCAGAACAGCAGCTGTGCTGTGTGAACAGTAGGCTATTGGGGGTTTTTGGACCCTAGTTTGATGAAGTTGAACTTCTGTATTTAATGGATTAAGCCAGAATCATGGGATTAAGGGCTTGTGGCTTTGTTAGAAGCTTTAAGACTTGAAAACATAATGAAAAGGCGTTGTCTTAATATTGTATGCTTGTGGTGCATGTTGTTGATGTATTGTTGGTCCACAACAGATTGTGAATCTGCTGTGTTTGGACTTTGAGCTGTGGACTCTTGGCTTTTGGAGTTAGCTTGCAAGGTAAGCTTTCTTGTCCTCAGTTTAGCCATGTTGTGGTTCCACCATGTCCCATGGGGGTATGGTTTATGCATGCTGTGTACATGCTTTTGGATATTTGATATGTTGATTGAACTTTACATGTAATGGCTTTTAATATGCATGTGTTGTTTCATCTTGACAGGAAGCCTGAGTATGTAGCGCCATACAAGATGGTGTACCGGGGTGAATGCAAGTGGTACTTGCACGGTGTGTAGGTGATAGACATATACCTGCACTGTCTCTGGCCAGTAGATTAGTATTGACACACATGACATGATTATCTGCTGCATTGCATTGTTTTAGAAATGATAAATGATAAACTGTTTTTGAACTTATATTGCACATGTAAGTGAGCTTGGGGTGGAAGATCCTTGAGGACTCACTGACTTACTGAGATTTCTAGATTAGAGATCTTACCCCACGTTTGGGGAATGCTTATTTCAGGATCAGGTAGTATGAGTACTAATGCCTCAGGCGGCAGGAGGTCGGAGCTTAGCTGATTATGTTGTTTCTGCTTATATGATAGCATGACTGGATTTGGATGCTGTTTATGTTTTCCGCTATTTATGATATGTTGTTGTTGAGACTGATGTTAGGCATGTTGCCTTATTTGAGTGAGCATGGGGATTGTCCATGACACTTTCTGTTAGTACTTGTAGTTTGGAGTTGTATAAACGGTTAGATGGTCCGGTCTACACTGTTGTAGTTCCGTGACTAGAGCCACAATTATATTATCTATGTTACGAGGTATTTCAGTTAGCTGTTTTATTGCAATTACATACAGGCGATGTTTTATTAATTGATTATTAAGTAAGTTGGTAATGTTAATGGCATCATAATTGAAAAGAAAAAGTAATTCCGCATTTTTAATTAAGCGCAACTTAATACGATATTATGATAACATTACCGAATATATACGGGGTGTTACACAAGGCTCATCCACCTCCTGAGAAACAACATCCAATTCCAACCATAAGGCCTGCCTCTCAACCCTTCGAGGACTCCCATACACAAAAGTAATCAATTCACTCTTCTCCTCCTCCACATGAAACACTCTAGTATGGATACACTGACTATATTCAGCAATAATATCCACTTTAGACTTCTTGTCATCCCATAACAACCAAATACCACCAGCAAACCCCACGGCTTCTTTTCTAAAATTCTTAGGAAACCCAAGCTTATTCACAATCCTGTCACCCCTGCTACCACTTATTCTGGTTTCCAACAAAGCTGAAACACTAAGGTTAAACCTATACTTCATATCTTTAATGAGAGCAGGGAATTCTTTTTTCCCTACTCCCCTACAGTTCCAAGAACTAATGAAAATAAACAAAGCAAGTGAGCTAGGGTCTACAACCCAACATAGAACAGACTAAAGATTAGTCATAGTCTTAACACCCAAGGGTGTTCCATAATCATCTACCAATTGCTCCTCCTGAAGAAAGGCAAAGGAATTTAACAAAACAGGACAATCAACTCCTTTACCTTTGGCCTTTGCTTGACTCCCCTCCTCCAAGCTGACATTCCCACCAGGACCTATAGCTTTCCCTCCGGTTCTCTGCTTCCTTCCTAGATCAACACCTCTCAAGGCAGCATTGGGAGGTAAATTCTCCAGCTCCCCTTTCTTTGACCCAGCTGAAGAACCTTTGCTATTTTTAAAACTGATACTCCCCTTTCTCACACTAAACGACATCTCTAACTATAAATCAAATCAAAATTTCCTGCATATTGCATAATCAAGATAATATTAGTGTTGTAGGTACATAATCTACGTAAGTTAATAAGCTACAAATCACTCAAATATTTCAAAAGAAAACCAAACATTTGTGTTTGAGAGTAAAAAAAAAAGAAGACATTAATTTATGAAAATAATTTTTTTTTTTTTTTTATAGACCGGGCTGGGTCACCGGTTGAACCGGTCGGGTCACCGATTTTTACGAAAATCGGCCGGGTCGCACCGGATCACACCGTTTCTGTAACATGGCCGGTCCAATATGAAAACCGAACCGATTACATGATCGGTTCACCGATTTTCTAGTCGACGCGGCCGGGTCGGTCCGGTTTTTATAATATTGCTTAATATCATTATTCAATTAACTAATGGATTACGATCTCCTTTGCCTTCAGCATCTAACCTTTCCTAGTAGGATTTTACACTATGTGATTACAAAGATGATAGTCCCAATTGTTGGATTTGTGACTCTTTCCTTCTTCAGGGGCCACCGGAGACAGATGTATTCGCTATGTGGCAGTTCGTTAGAATGTCCATAAAAAGAGTCGGTCCTGCTTTAACGTCGCTCCCTTTGTCTGTTTGTAATTCAAAGTAATGGTCCCCTCTCCAATTCTTCATCACATGATACATTATTGATGAAAAACTATGTCTCCGCGTGCAGCCACCTTTCACTTTAAACTCGAATAATCTACATAAATAATACATCTTCGAAATTACTACGCTAACCCTTAAACAACAGTGCTTTTGTTCGAATATCTTATAATCCAAAGGTAACACTGCCATAATTAATGACGTAGCAGAACCTTAGCACCATACACAAAATTATGACACATGGATTTCTGTTCAAGGGATTAGTACATTATACATTCTATATATATTTGATAGGGAATAATGAAATATTTGATTGTTTTGATTTTTTTTTTAAATTATTTTATAAAATAGTTAATAAATAAATGTTTTTATTTTTTGTTTTAAAATTTAAAAATCAAAATATAAAACAAAAACAATTCATATATATTCTCTAAATTTGATTCTAAAAAAATTATAATTTTAAATATTTATTACAAAATAAGTATCCTTAAACATGTTTTTTTGTTCTGAAAATCAAAAAATTAATTTTCGAAACAGATTTCAAATAAATCCAATTTTTCTCCAGCAAAATGAAAATAATTTTATCTCCTGTACTTATATGAAAGTAGATCCCGTGTAGGATATTAAATTATATTATTCATCTTGCAGAAAAAATATTAATCCCTTAATATTAAAAATTAAAAACAAAATGAGCTTGTCACAACTTACATTGTATTTGATTGGCGTATGTACTACTATGAAGTATATGCTTGTTCTAACAGGAATAATTTTTACTTTGCATTCCTTAACTAAAACAACATTTTCAACTTTCAAGAATATTCTTTTAAACTTGAACTCGCATAACACATGCTTTCCTTTAAATAATTAATTTATACCTCATTCTGTTGATGTCGTTATCAGTAATTCTTGGTACAAATCAAGATTTGAGAATTTATCAATATTACTGTTTGGTTAAAGCACATTTTCTATAAGTTATCAAGTCTTACTTATTATATTATTTATTTTTTATGTACTAAATTGTATTCCAACTAATCTAGATTGTGTTTATATATGTTTTGTTGCTAGAAAAATAGAGAAAAATAAAAGCATTTGTTATTATAAAGTACATAACTTTGTGTCATTTAAGTGGAATCACCTGTGTTGGTATATATGTATATTGATTTTTTACATTCTTTTTCCGTTACAATCAATGTTATTAAAACCGGCTCGGTCATTGATCCGGTCAAGGTACTGGGTCACTGGGTCACTGGTTCAATCAGTGGGTCACTGGTTCAACCGCATGATCCGGTAATTATATGGAATTTTTTAATTTATATTAAAAAATTACAAATATACTCAAATATCTAAAAAAATGATATAAATTTCAAATATTTTAATGTAAAAAGTAATAAATCACATATTATTATCTAATAAAAGATCAAACAAAAATATAATGATCGTGATACGAGACTTTAGGTTCAGAAAATGACATCTTTAATTATAAATTAATTCAAAAAAATTTGCATAGTACATAATTGAGATAATATTAGTATTATAGGTACATAACTTATGTAAGTCAATAAGCAAAAAAATATTCAAATATGTCCATTATGATTTTTTTTGAAAAAAAAATTGGAATTTTTTTTTTTGTGACCGGCCCGGGTCACCGATTAACCGACCGGGTCACCGGTTTTTATGAAAACCGGCCGGGTCGGACCGGGTCACACCGGTTATGATGCATGGCTGGTCCATTGCTTCTACCGGACCAGTTAAATGACCGGTTTACCGGTTCCCGGATCGACCAGGCCGGGTCGGTCCGGGTTTAATAACAGTGATTACAATATTCTCTTTTATTTCTCTTCCTAATTTTGTAAAATAGAGAGAATATAAAAGGCTAACAAATTAATATATACACTTCAATTAAAATAACAAAAAGTTATGTCATTTAAAATGAGGAACGCTTTTCCCATAAAGAATTAACTTTTTGATTCCTCTCTTTTGGTTTGGTCGAGAAAATTTATTTGAATATAATTGGTAAGCTCCAACATTTTTTGCGTGGGAAAAGTTAATATTTAATTTGTTTAACAAAGATTTTTGTTTAGGAACCTTACAAGTTATTAATATGAGTTTAATGTTTTTGCTTGCAGCAGAAAAAATTTCTCTGCCACATTTATTTTCACATAAAAGTGAGTGGATCTCACTGATATTTTCTCTTCATAATGAGATCCACTCACTTTTATTTGAGTGGGGCGCATAAAATTTTTTTACAGTAAAAACAGAAACATTTTCCCCTATTGATATTGTAGAGTTGTTATGTTCTTTTTACAAGTAGAATTAGTTGTATATTTGGATAAACACAAATTTATTATGCTTATAATTAAGCCTATCTGATTGTTTACCGAAAAAAAAAAGCCTATCAGATTATTTAATTTGGTAACAAAGTTATTTAGTACATCCGTCATAAGTTAAGTTTGGGCCGGGACACTCTCCAATGTCTCATCCTCAGTCATGCCTGTGCCAGTGGGATTACAAGAGGATGGGAACATTGATCATAGTGCCTTTTTTCTCAGTATAATATATCTAAATGATATGAAGTGCAATTTTTTTTCAAACTGCCATGAAATCATATTTGCTGAGGTCCTCGGCTATTATGGACGGGACACGTGTTATGTCCTGAGTGGCTGGTCAAGCATCTTGCACAAAGGTAGCTTCTTTGGTGCATTTCCAACCACCGGAAACATGGTACGTGTCTCGTCCATAGTAACTTAGTACCTCAGCGACTATTGTGCCATGGCAATTTGGGAAAAAATTTGTACTCCATAACATTTAGGTATATTATACAAGGGCAATGCTTTTCTCATGCTACATGAGATAGTATTATCTCATGTAGAGACATAATTGGGTGAGTCCCACGGTTAAAAGAAAAGAAAAAAGAAAAAGAAATGCTGGCTCGGATAGCGATGTGTCTGTGACATGAGATAAATTTTTTTATGTAACTTGAGAAAAACATTTCTCATTATACAAATAAAAAATGGATGGGTCGTACTAAAGAGAAAAGAGAGAGAATAAAAGTAAGTCCCCTCTATTTTTGTTATCTCATCCAACATGAGAAATTATTTTCCCTTAATTAATATATTTTACATTCTATATATATTTGATGGGTTTATTGTATTTCCAAGAGATAATATATTTTCAGTGAGTTTAAAACGATTTGTTTTGGGTTAAGAAAAAGTTATTTTTGTAATTCTAATTTATTGTAGGGTTATATTAATCTTTATAATTTTAATTTTTTTATTTTTAATCCAAAACAACATCATTTTAGACTCACTGAAAAATAAATTTTTCTCCGGTCCCTAGAGAAATGTTTTTCCCATATTTGATATTAAAAAATGAAAAACAAAGTGAGCTTGTCACAACATACGAAGAATATGCTTGCCCTACTGGAATAATTTACAATTTATATACATTATTTAACCGAGACAACATTTTCAACTTTCAAGGATATTCTTTTAAACTTGAACTCGCAAAACGCGTGCTTTGCTTTAGATAATTAATATATAAGACATATTCTCTTGATGTCATTAGCACTATTTGTACCTAGATAATAAAGTCATTCATGAGTTTTCATAGATAACTCATCTTTAAGAAATTTGATTCTTAACATTGCATCATAACTTTTTTTATTATATAAGCGGCCAAGACTTCTATCTTTGTAATTCATATTTTTTTGATAAAAATAAAAAGTTAAATTTGATTATAAAATAAACTAAGCCGTTTCAAGCTAAAAAGACAATTGATTAGTTCATGTGTTTAGATATATGTATCAAAATAAAATGTATCAATGCTACTTTCTTTAAAAAATAAAATCTTATTCAAGTAGCCTTTATAAAGAAAAAAAAGAGACAAACATAACGCCAAGTCATTTAAACTTAGAACAAGTTTATATATGTAAAAGGAATATTTATATATTTTAATGGTGTTATAAGATAATAAGATTTTATACATGTAACCAGTGGTATGTAACATAGTTTATTGTGGCTCAATTAATAGAAATCCCAACATTAAGATAGAAGTAAGACCACAAGAATGATTAAATTTTATGCTATCATCAAGAAATTAGTTGGCATGTTTGGAAATAGATCTTCTCATTTGGAAAAAAAATATAATATGGTCATGTGGGAAATATTACAACTATACAAAGGTAAATCAACGGTTATGATTTCGTAACTACCTATTTTAACATTTTTCTCTCTCCTCTTTTATTACCATTGATCCATCTTTGTATGGTTATGATTCTCCACATGACATGGTCATGTGAATTTTCACATGAGAGGATCCAAATCCGGCATGATTATATTTGTCATATAATTGGTTCATGCTGTTAGATACACACATTATTTGTACAAAAATCTCTCGTTATTCATATCGTTACCATTTATTTCTCATATGTATTATCTCTTTTTCACTTTTTTTATAAACATAAATAGCCCATAATTTTGTGAGATGGTAAAGATCTTTTAATGTTCATAAATATAATAATTCACGTTTTATTGGAGTGTTCGCAGATTAGATTAAATCAGTATTCGTAGAAAATGCAAATTGATAAAATCTAATTAGCATTCTGTTAACATCATTCGATCAATTTAGTTTAAAAAGTGAAGTTGATCGAATATAATCCGATCTAAATCGGTATGGATTGGATCAGATCAATTTTTTAGTTTTTCGTTATATATTTTTTTAATGTCTACATTAAAAGATAGAAATCTAATTTAATCAAAATACATCAATACAAATCTAAAATAATTCATCAAAATACAATAAATACATGTCCAAATAAATACATAAAATATAAATTAAAATTTTAAATAGAATTCTAAATTAATTGTCAATCCTAATATTGTTCATACAATGTATCTCCAAATTGAAGATATGAAATTATATTTGGTTTGACTTACAATAAACAAAATCTAAAATAATATGGATAATATGAAATTTTCTTAAATAAAATATATTTTTAAAATATAATATTAATATGTATAAATTGGGTCAATTTAAAAGTTTTGAATTAAAAAACCAATTAATCTAATTTAATTAATCGTTTTCAGTATTGTATTTTTTAATATTTTACTTTTAAAATTTTCAAGTCAATTTGTTAAATTTTGTTTGGATCAGTCTGAGTTTTAATAGCCATAACAGATATGAAATAGATATATAAAGATTTGATGTATGTACTAGCTAGCTAGAAATGGTGAAAACTTTAAATGTCAATATGAACGTTTCCATCACAGTAGTTCAAAAGCAAGAAATAAAATGGCATTTTCCTAATTATTTTTAAAAATTAATTAGCTTAGAACCAAGAAAAAACAAAACACCACACATAAAGATCTCCAGTCCTATGTATCTTCTGTCTTTCTCTAAATAAAATATACAAATTATTGGCAAAAAGACAAACCCAATCCGATTGTGCCCGGTCTTACTTTTACACTTTTTATAGGGAGATTATTTTTTAGATTCAAACTTGTTACCATTTGGTTAGAGGGAAAAAAAATATTTTCTCCAAATGAGAGGTCAGATCACAAGAGGGTGAGTCTTCAATATTGATTTCGGGTGTGAAAGGTAACATTTTTGCAAAAATATACAAATAATGTTGGATCAAGGGAGGGACCAGCATTAACCTCCTTAAATTTTAATTATTTTATAATTATATGTATAAAATAATATTTGTCTGATTATAATAAATTATTAGCACTAAGAATTAGCCCATTTCTAAAAAATACATATAATAATTAGTGCAGCTTATCATACTTAATAACATTTGAAATTTTCATATTTTATTTTAGCACTCCATCACAAAAAAGTACTAGGTTTGCCACATAACCCATCCTTATCCCACCTTCACACAAAGTTGTGCAGTGATTTGTACTCTTTTTTTTTTTTTCGAAATTATTTCGGTGCTATTGTCTCACACCCAACTCAATGCGACGGCTCAATCAAAATTCAGCAAAGGCTATGACATGTGTAGGAAGATAGAAGAATTTTTTTTTGAGTTTTATAATTCTCATTTAATATGAGAATTATAATTTTTTTACACACCCTTCGATTTTCGTGCTAACGTGAATCTTACATATAACTTTTTCTAACATATGAGTCCCACATATTTTTTGTCTCTACAACATGAGAATTCAATTCTCATGTTGCATGAGAAATATAAAACTTTTTTTTTTAATTCAAGTGTCATCAAACGAATGGAAGGCGCACGTGCCACCGTTGCACCAAAAGATTTATCCTTTTTTTTGTTGGTCACAGCACAAGTTTTAAACATCAAAAAAATGTGCTATGGAACTTTGTTCCATTTGTCATTAAAAAACGGCCCAAGCCAAATAACCCTAGCTAGCACCATTATAAATAGGTGCTTCTCATGCCCTAAGAGCCATCGAGCTAAACAAGAAACCATTACCCATAATTAACCATGGCCTCGACAAAACAACCATCAATATTCCTCCTCTTTGCCCTTATATCCCTCTCCATCACAATCAACTCCTCCAATGCTACTGATTGTGTTGGCAGCGGAGCCATCTCTGTTTACTGGGGTCAGCATCCCAATAACGATGAGGGCACCTTGCAAGCTACATGTGCCACCGGAAACTATGACATCGTCATCCTCGAAAGCCTCATTGTGTTTGACAGTGGCAGGACCCCATTGTTAAACTTGGATAATCATTGTAGCGGCAACTCTTGCTCTGTGCTACAATCACAAATAGAATACTGCCAAGAAAACAACATCAAAGTTTTCCTTTCCATTGGTCTAGTTTCAGCCGGCCTAACAACCAACACTGCTTCGTTATCAGCATCAGAGAATGTGACAAAAGATCTTGCAGATTACCTCTTGGAGAAGTACCTAAGTGGTAATTCAGGTCCTTTAGGAAATGTGTATTTGGATGGCATTGATATTGCTGATGTTTCAGATAGTGAACACATAAAATGGGATGAACTTGTTAAGCTCATTAATGCATCCACAACAGATAGAAGGATTTACCTATCTGCATCACCACAATGCATATATCCAGATCGCTACCTTAGCTCCGCAATCAACACTGGCCTTGTTGATTACGTTTGGGTTGAGTTCTACTACCAGAACCCTGATTGCATATACTCAAATGGAAATCCTTCAAAGCTTTTGAGTGCATGGAAAACATGGACCTCACGTGTTCCCAATAGCTTAATATTCTTGGGTCTTGCGGCTTCTGATACAATAGCTGGTTATATAAAACCAGATGCACTCATATCTGAGGTTTTACCAACAGTAAAGGAAGCTTCCAACTATGGTGGAGTTATGATTTGGGACAGGTATCTTGATAAAATTAATAATTATTCTCCTCAGATAAAAGATAGTGTCTCAAAAGTTTGCCGATGTGTGTGTGATGAGTCTGCATCGACCAGTTTCTATGGTCTTCCTCTGCGGGGAACCATTTGAACGTAGTGTGTTGTAGACACAATAGTTGACGTGCCATTAGGCACTTAATGTATGGAATAAAGTAGCTACCAATGTGAGACCTGTAATTGTTTGATTACAAGCATGTAATGGATCTCACTTCAAATAAAAGTTCTATTTTATGAAACAACTTATGTCTTAACTACGAAATGATGAACACTAAATTTAATAGCCTATAACATCCTTCCAGGGAAAAAAAAGATTATGATATCCAAGGTTTCCTTTCGTCTCTTTCTTGTTTATTTTACTCTTTTGGCTGATTCAATATGCTGTCGAAAAATGTATGCCTCAACTCCTTCTCTCTCATGCATGCCTTGTCATCCTGTTTGGTGTCATCGTCATCATAACCTGCTCCCGTGCGCGCATCATCGATGACTTTAACGGTGAAAAGGACACAAAGTTCTGTTCTCTTTAATGTGCAGGTCGGCCGCCACTTCGTTTTGCTCCGGTTCATGGAGGTTAAGGACGCGGGTGCTTAAGATTGCATGCCAAAAAGTTACGGAAATGAATAATCTCGTGTGTTATTTAATATAGGGAAAAGTTCACCAATGTCCCTATGGTTTACTCCAGAATTATTATGCTCCTGTGGTTTTTTTCGATCCCCTGTGCTTTGTAAAAACTAAGAAACCACAGGACATATGTGATAAAAAAACATACCTTTTTACAAATCTCAGGGGCATATGTGATAAGAAAAAAATCACAAGAGCATAAGTGATTCTGGAGAAAATCACAGGGGTATTGGTGAACTTTTCCCTTTAATATAACTATGTCATATGAAATTATCTTAACCATCTATAAACAAATCAACCGTAAAGATTTTATAATTTTTTATTCTAATATTTTTTTTCCTCTCTTCTTTTTTTTTTTTATCATTGTTCACCCTTGTACGGTTACGATACTCCTAAAGCCTTCTTTGCCTCTCCCTTGTATTTGTTTAATTGATTGTGCCTTAATTAATTTGATTTTTCAAATTAATATTTAGTGTCTTCTAAATAAAATTTGAATTAGAAATATGTGGAATAAATATTTATGACATTTCGGGCAAAAATCATGAAAATTTAAGCAAAAATTATGAAAAATCATTGGGTTTTATATTGGGTCAAAACTGGAGTGACTTGATTGAAGACGTTGGACTTGTAACACTTTTGTTGTTGTGTTACTGTGCACCTTTTGTTATGAAACAATTTTTCATAGCCAATTCAAATTCGAATTCAAACATTTAAATTCAAACGTTCAAACATTTAAATTCTAAATTCAAATTCAAATTTCAAATTCAAATTCAAATTTCAAATTCAAAATTTAAATTTCAAAATTCAAATTTCAAATTTCAAATTCAAAATTCGAATTTCAAAATTCAAATTCAAAATTCAAATTTCAAATTCAAAATTCAAAATTTAAATATTTGATAATTAATTAAATTAATTAAATTAATTAGTAATATCTTGGACCATCCAAACCCATTAACAATACCATGCGCCCTCTCCCTCTTAGGTGGGCTTCCAGACTTCATCTTGGGCTAACAACCATTATTAGGCCCAATACCTTTAATGCTATATCATCATGACATTAAGGTGTTAGTGTGTTACTCATTAGGTTCAACATAGCCACTGACATAAATGGGCTCGGGCCCAACAAGCCCACAACCCATTTAATGACAACACAGAGCACTAGCAATGTTTTGTTTCCCCAGAGCTAGTTAGATTAATGACTTGATCATCCTATTACACATATTTGGTTGTCGTATATATTTCTTTTCGTCTCGGTTATCTTCCCATAAAACCTAGGGTAAGGAAGCGTATCAACCTTTGCGGTTTAGGGTAAGCTTTATTCGAAATAGGGAATCTTCAATTTACTGACTCTAAAGGCATATCATCTCATGATCTCTTTTACTATGCATAGATTCCTGAGTCCCTATAAATGTCATCCTGATTTCTCCGGTTTACAGATAACCTAATCTCTCATAGAAATTTGACGAATTCCTTTAGCTTATCACCCTAGCCCTGTGCTCTTTCGGGACAAGCCCAACAGTATACCTATGAGTCTCCATGTTTCAGGAAGACGGGGTATACAGTCAAAACATGCCTTCTAGAACACAGTCTAGGTAATAACTTCTGGTCTAAGGAAAGACATACCCAAATATAAAGAGACTATTCTAATGATACTCTCTGTGAGATTTCCTCATAGAGTCTCTTTTATGGGTCTGTTCGGTGTGAGCTATACCCTTATTGATCCACCCACGACTTTAGCTAAGATATTGTTGGGCTTCCTCCTTCAATGCTAAGCCCAAGCCCATTTGAAGGGTTTCCTAAAAACCCTAACCCTAATTTCCACCTCCTCTATATATACTCATTGTTGTGGGTGGAGGCAAGGTTAGATTTGAAAGGTCAAATTTGAGAGAACAAATTTGAGAGATTTATTTGATTGTTTGAGCAAAAGCTTTATGCTTTGCATTTGAGAGATCTCTAGAGAGAGTTTGAGTGAAACATCTCTAGGGTAGTATGATTATCACCATTGTTAGAGAGGTTGAGTTAACCACCACATTGGTGTATTTGATTATTTGTAACCATTATCATCATAGTGGATTTTTGATCTGAACTAGGTCCCGTGGGTTTTTTACTTCTTCATTAGAGAAGGTTTTCCCACGTTAAAACTGGTTGTGTTCTTCTTCTCTCTCTCTCCTATTTTGATTTTTTCGTTTTTGATTGTTCCGCTGCGCTGCCTGACCTGGTGAAGTTCAGGCTGAGGTATTGCCGAGATCCGAGATCAGGATCTTGTTGATTGACTTCCGCACAAAGGCCCCTGAGCCGAGCTTGAGGGAACCGAGTTTTCCCAACAGTGGTATCAGAGCCCGAGTTCGACGGGTTCTAAGGGAGACGAGATGGAGACCAGTGGCATAACTCATGATGGAGATATGTTCAAGTTGACCGCAGATAATTTCACATATTGGAGACCGATGATGGAAGATCATCTCTACTGCAAAGATTTGCATGAGCCCATTATCCTTGATGAGAGACCGGCAGGCAAGACAGATAAGGAGTGGGAGATCCTGAGTCGGAAGGCGGTAGCCACGATCAGGAAATATATTGATAAAAGCCTCTTTGAGCACGTGTCCGAATTCACGAACGCGTATGAGTTGTGGACGAAATTAGAGTCCATGATTCAGAAGAAGACTCCCAGGAACAAAGCACACCTGGTTCGCCGACTTGTTAAGCTTGAATACAAGGACGATATGAGCATGATTGAACACCTGAACACATACAAAGGTATTGTGAATCAGCTGTCAAAGGCTGATATGAAGATTGATGAAGAACTGCAGGCATTGCTGCTGTTGAGCTCGCTGCCAGAAAGCTGGGATACTCTGGTGGTGACCCTGAATAACTCGACTCCGGATGGAAAATTGAAGATGGATGTCGTGACAGACAGCCTTCTGGGCGAAGAATCCAGGAGAAAAGAACGAGGTACTTCGAGTACGTCTGAGGCCAACGTTGCTGAGAACAAAGGGAAATCTGACTCCCGCGGTAGAAGCAAAAGCCGAGGTAGAGGTCGTGACAGACGAGACAAGTCCAGAGGTCGGTCAAAGCCGAAATATGAGTTGAAGTGCTTTTACTGTGGAAAGACAGGCCTTAAGAAGCCAGACTGCTGGACCCTACAGAATGATGAGAAGAACGGCTCTGTGAAGCCGGAGCAGATTGTTCCCAAGAAGAGGGAAGACAAGAGCACCACTGCGGTGGCTGCAAACCCTGATGCCGATATATTCCTCCTTGGTTGGTGATTTTGGAGTCGTGAAGATGGGAAATCAAGTGACCAGCAAGATTGTTGGTGTCAGTGATGTAACTCTGACCACAGATGTCGGATGCCGACTTGTGTTGAAAGATGTAAGGCATGTTCCTGACATGCGTTTGAACCTAATCTCGGTAGGCAAACTTGATGATGCCGGGTTAGTGAAC